ACAGGAGGGGCCAGGTCGGCACTCGGGAAGAGGGGCTAGGTCGGCACACAGGAGGGTCATGTAAGGCACACGGGGAGAGGCCAGTTCCGCACAGGGAGAGGGGCCACTCTGCACACGGGAGGGGGCCAGGTCCTCCACACGGGAGGGGCCCAGGTCTGCACACGGGAGGGGGCCAGGTCGGCACACGGGGAGGGGCCAGGTCTGCACACGGGAGAGGGGCCAGGTCTGCACACGGGAGAGGAGCCATGGTCTGCACACGGGAGGGGCCAGGTCTGCACACGGGAGAGGAGCCAGGTCTGCACACGGGAGGGGCCAGGTCTGCACAGGGAGAGGGGCCAGGTCTCCACATGGGAGAGGAGCCAGGTCCGCACACGGGAGAGGGGCCAGGTCCGCACACGGGAGAGGGGCCAGGTCGGCACAGGGAGAGGGGCCAGGTCGGCACATGGGAGGGGCCAGGTTGGCACAGGGAGGGGCCAGTTCGGCACAGGGAGAGGGGCCAGGTTGGCACACGGGAGGGGGGCCAGGTCTGCACACAGGAGGGGCCAGGTCGGCACACGGGAGAGGGGCCAGGTCCGCACACGGGAGAGGGGCCAGGTCTGCACACGGGAGAGGGGCCAGGTCTGCACACGGGAGAGGGGCCAGGTCTGCACACGGGAGAGGAGCCAGATCTGCACACGGGAGAGGGGCCAGGTCCGCACATGGGAGGGGCCAGGTCGGCACACGGGAGGGGCCAGGTCAGCACACGGGAGAGGGGCCAGGTCCGCACACGGGAGAGGCCAGGTCGGCACAGGGAGAGGGCAGGTGTTCCACGCATGGTGCGTGATTTAACTGGTGGTGGCTTTGCAGTGCAGGTGCTGACAGGACCCCCAAGGCTCCTGGAGGAGTGGGGACAGTCCTGGGTGGCAGAGTTAGGACTTGAACCAGGGTTGCCCGATCCAGAGCCCCTTGTTTTCCCAAACTGCCCCCCACGTTGCCCCTGAGGAGAGCGGGCATGGCAGGAGTTCGGGGAGTGGCCGGCCCTCGGCTGGCTCTGAGCGCTCCTGGTGGCCGAGTTCAGCTGGGCCGGGAAGCCAGGGAGACAGTGACGGCAAAAGGAGCCAGCCTGTCGTCCTTCAGTTCCTCTTGCAGCAGTCAGATTGGTTTGGGAAGTAAAATTGGAGAAAGTGGAACAGGCTCTCTAAAAGAATGGAAACAGGAGTACAATTAGAATTCTGATGTTAAAAGGAACCTGAGGAGAGAGGCCCGGAGTCGGTACTGGAGGAGCAATTGGAGGAGCATTGCGCAGGGACCACACTGTCCCGACGAAACCTGTTTGAGTTGTGGGAAGGTGAATCTGCCACGTGGCAGGACCTTGTGGCCTCTGCCACCCACTTCCAAAGACCCACTGTGTGTATGTATGTACATGTGTGCATGCATTTGTACATACGTATGTGCGTACGTGCATGTGTACGTACAGGTGTGCATATACGTGTGAGCGCACGTGTATGTAAGTGTGCTGTGTGTATGTGTGTATGTGTGCGTACAGGTGTGCACATATACGTGTGTGTGCACATGTATTTGTGTGTGCTGTGTGCCTGTGTGTACATGTGTGTGTGTGCGCTTTCATGTGCATGTGTGTGTGCGTGTACGTCTGTGTGTGCCTGTGCATGTTTTAAAGTTGGGCCTCTGGTCAGATGTGTTGGATCTGAGGGTTCCTTGGTTGAGGGAGGAGTTGGGAGCTGCTGGTTGAATCCAGCTTTTGTAGTTTGAGGAACTCGAGGCCTGAAGCATTAACTCACCAGGTCTCCATGGGGCCTGGCTGGCTGGGGTTTGGTGCTGCCCCAACCTCAGGTCACTGACTTTCTGACTGGCTGGTGCCCCTTCTCCCACTGGGGCCACAGTGCCACGTGCACTGCTACTGACTGTGGAGAAGGGCGAGGACGAGACCCCTCTCTGCTGCCCAGTAGCAGTTGTCTTTACATCTCTCTCTTGGCCACCTGACAGCATCAGTGACCCCTGTGGGCAGTGCAAGGAAGGAAGGGCCCAGGGCTGCCTCCTGCTCCCGCAGTGAGCACCCTGGGAGCTTGTTAGAGCTGCAGATTTCTGCAGCCTTCCTGCCTCCAGCCTCCACCCCTCCGTGGTTGTCACCGGGCCTGGGGTGGATCCAGGAGTTCCGCACTTACATGAGTCCCCTAAGAGACTGAAACAGCCAGAAGGAACCGCAGCTGGCACCTTTTCACCCATTGATTCCAGGGATGTGCCCACTGCAGCCCAACCCCATGGATCCGTGTGGGCAGGAGCACCCCCACGAGCAAGTCATTGCTTTCCTGGGTGGGGCGGGGCGGGTGGGGGAGAGATGAGCTCCTCGGAAAGCAGGCGCTTGCTCTATAGAAGTACCTCTTTCTGCCTCCTCAGTGTACCATGCCATCTTCTTGGAAGAGCTGACCACTTTGGAGTTGATTGAGAAGATCGCCAACCTGTACAGCATCTCCCCACAGCACATCCACCGAGTCTACCGGCAGGGGCCCACGGGCATCCACGTGGTGGTCAGCAACGAGGTGAGCTTGCTGCCTGCCCTGCCCTGGTGAGCTGGAGCTTTGTGTCCCAGGGAGGAGCGTCGGACACTGCATCCTGTGGGGTGTGGGATGACTTTAGCCCAAAGACGGCCAGCAGGTCTCACCGGCATGCCACAGGCTGCAGCGGCCGCCTGGAGTGCTGGGAGGGAGAGAGCTCTGAAGACACAACTGGCTCTGAATAGCTTTCGAGTATCCACTCCATTGCCTCACCCTCGGCCAGGTGCCATGCAGGAACTGGGAGCACAGACGGCACCCCTGCCCTCAGGGTTCTTGCAGGGAAAGGCGTCAGAAGGGTGCTCACCCAGGGCAGGCGGCAGGGCCCAGTGAGAAGTGAACTGGACGGGGGTTGGTGATGGGAAGGATGTGGCTCAGTACGGAGGACCCCTCTGCTGAATAGGGAAGGTGCTGCAGCCCTCCGGGGCCGGTCACAAGCAGCGCCTGGCAGGGGCACAGGTCTGATTCCGCAGGCTGAGGAGGGCTGCTCACCGGGGCTTGTGACACATCGAGTTCCTGCGAGTTGTAGAATGGAGGCTGTTACGCCTGTTCTGTCCTGACCTTTCCTCTTAACACTGATGGTAAGGGTGCCAGCACTACTGGGTGCCGACTGCTCCCACTGCTGTCCCAAGTGCACATGCAGTGACTCATTTGATTCTTTTTTTTAAAAATATATTTTATTGATTTTTTTACAGAGAGGAAGGGAGAGGGATAGAGAGTTAGAAACATCAATGAGAGAGAAACATCGATCAGCTGCCTCCTGCACACCCCTTACTGGGGATATGCCCTTGACCGGAATAAAACTTGGGACCCTTGAGTCCGCAGGCCGATGCTCTATCCACTAAGCCAAACTGGTTAGGGCTGATTCTTTTTTATTTAAAAGAATCTTTATTGTTGAGAGTATTACAGATGTCCCCCTCTTATCTCCCCATTGTCCCCCTCCACCTGGTTCCCATCCCACCCTAGGCCTTCACCACCCTATTGTCTGTGTCCATAGGTAATGCATATATACATATATGTTCTTTAGTTAATCTCTCTCCTCCGTCTCTGAGATTCGTTGGTCTATTCCATGTTTCCATGCCTCTGGTTCTATCTTATTCACCAGTTTATTTTGTTCATTAGATTCTTTGTTCATTTATTTTCATTTTTAGATTCAGTTGTTGATATATATGTATTTATTGCCACTTTATTTTTCATATATTTAAAAATAATTTTTTAATTGATTTCAGAGAGGAAGGGAGAGGGAGAGAGAGATAGAAACATCAATGATGAGAGAGAATCATTGATTGGTGGCCTTCTGCACGCCCCCCTCCCCCCCGTCCCCCCTGTGGGGATTGAACCTGTAACCTGGGCATGTGCCCTGACTGGGAATTGAACCATGACCTTTTGTTCATAGGTCGACTCTCAACCACTGAGCCATGCCCATTTGTTTATATTTTTTATCTTTCTTCCACTTCTTTTCCTTTTTCTTCTTCAAGAATACCCTTCAAAATTTCATGTAATACTGATTTGATAATGATGAACTCCTTTAGCTTTTTCTTGTCTGTGAAGCTCTTTAGCTATTCTTTAATTCTAAACGATGGCTTTGCTGGGTAGAGTATTCTTGGTTATAGGTCCTTGCTATTCATCATTTTGAATATTTCTTGCCACTCCCTTCTGGCCTGCAAAGTTTCTGTTGAGAAATCAGCTGACAGTCATATGGGTGCTCCCTTGTAGATAACTAACTGCTTTTCTCTTGCTGTTTTTAAGATGCTCTTTATCTTTAACTTTATGCATTTTAATTATGATGTGTCTTGGTGTGGGTCTCTTTGGGTTCCTCTTGTTTGGGGTTCTCTGCACTTCCTGGACTTGTAAGTCTATTTCTTTCACCAGGTAGGGGAAGTTTTCTGTCATTATTTCTTCAAATAGGTTTTCAATATCTTGCTCTCTCTGTTTTCCTTCTGGCACCCACATAATTTGGATGTTGGTAGGCTTAGCGTTGTCCCAGAGGCTCCGTACACTATCTTCATATTTTAGATTCTTTATTCTTTTTGCTCTTCTAATTGGGTGTTTTTTTGCTGCCTCATATTCCAAATTGTTGATTTGATTCTCCACATTCTATGTTCTACTGTCGAAACCCTGTAAATTATTCTTTATTTCAGTTAGTGTATACTGAATTTCTGACTGGTCCTTTTTCATGTCTTTGAAGTTCTCACCTACATTCTTGAAAGTCTCAGTAAGTGCCTTGAAGCTCTCATTAAGATCCTGACTATCCTTATAACCATTGTTTTGAACTCTATATCTAGTACTTTGTTTGCTTCCACTTCATTTAGTTGTTTTTCTGGAGATTTTTTTCTGTTTTATTTTCATTTGTAACATGTTTCTTTGTCTTCGCATTTTGGCTGCTTCCCCGTGTTTGTTTCTGTGTATTGGGTAGAACTGCTATGTCTCCTGGAGTTAGTAGAGTGGCCTTGTGGAGTAGGTGTCCTGTAGGCCCCAGTGGCTCAGCCTCCCCAGTCACCTGAGCTGGGCACTGTAGGTACACCCCTGTGTGGGCTGTGTACACTGTCTTGTTGTAGTTGAGCTTTGATTTCTGTTGGTGTCACTGGGAGGAATTGACCTCCAGGCCAATTGTCTGTGAGGACCAGTGGCAACTACAATGGAAGAACTGCTGTGCAGGAGATACCCCTATGGATTAGGACTTGCTTCAGTGGGGCCTTGGTGCTCACAGAATCTTCCCTTTGAATGTGTCACTTGTGGATGTGTAGAGCTGAAATCTGATATGGTCTGAAGCTGTCCACTTGGTGCACGACTCTGGAGCCTCCTGGGAGGTGCAAAGTCAGACACTGCCTGTGCCCTTCCTGGGGCCACTGGGCAGGAGCTACAGATTGGTCTGCAGATGGCTGCTACTTGTGTTGGGCTTGGAAGTGCCCAGGGGAGGCCAAGCTGTGAAGCAAGGCAAGCTACTGCTAATGCCAGGCCTGGGGGCACTTATCAGGAGGTATGGGGCACACTGACATCAGCTGCTACTTGTTTGAGAGATTTTAGGAAAGGCTGAAGCCTGAGCTAGGACAGGCTATTTATATGAAAAAGCCTGCTTCAAGCAGTTTGGGTGGGGCTGCAAGTTGGGTGAGGGGAATCACCAGGGCGAAGCGAACAGTGTGAGCCAGGTTGATGGAGACTCAGATATGGTGCCTGCCAGTCAACTCTGAGACTGGAGGGTGGGGTGTCAGGGAAGGGATGTGGAGGGTGGGGGATGGGGAGGTCTCAGCATAGGAACAGTGACCCCTGTGAGCATCCCTGTCTGGGAGAAAGCTGCCCCCAAGTTCTTGCCCTGATGCCAGACAATCCAGTTCCTCCTGGATTCCCCCAAGCCAATGCCCTAGTGGGAATGAGTCCACGTAACTCTGTGTTTTGCGCCTTTAAGAGGAACTGCCTGGGTCTCCAGCAGCCCTCTGTGAATGACTCATAGCCCACCTATGATGGATTATCCCATCTCACAGGTAGGAAACTGAGACAAGAGAGCAAATGCCCAGGTTGCAGAGCTGGTAAGGGCTGCTGGAGCCAGCATGAGCCGGGTAGGGGGGTCCCTGGTAGAGCCCAAGCACTGAGCCAGTAGGCTATCCAACCTCTCCTAAATTGAACCCTTTAAAAAAAATAGGCTGATGGGAGCAGGGCTGGAACCCTGATCCCCCTGCTCAGCCCCTGCAGACCCTGAGCCAGCTGTGGGAACTCTGAAAGCCTATGTCGAGGATTTTAGGAGAAATGGCACAGGAGTGGTTGCTGGGGACATAGAGAAAATGTGGCATTTGGAGTTGGACTGGTGTCCCCACCTGGAACGGGCTCCTAGTAGCTGAGCAACCTTGGGCAAATTTATTTAACCTCTTTGAGCCTCAGTTTCCACATCTGTAAAATGGGGATAATTATACCTATCAAGCAGGTAAGGATAAAATGAGGAAACTGTGTTAGGTACCAGAAGATGCTAAATAAGCAGTGGATGTTGTTGTTGACAGTGCTAGGCACTTGTTATTTTGGGGAGCAAGTGATGGACAGATCTTTAAATTTGACGATGTATAAAATGTAAGGCTTTTAATGGTCTGTGTATATTTATTTCATAAATTGTCATTATTAGTAATAATCCTATACTTCAGAGCCCGTTTCATGGGTATCTCATCCTGAAGGTCCGTGAGGTGAGGTGTGGTGGTATTCCTTCCTTTTCATTTAAAAAGTAATTCACAGAGTAAGCAGCCAGGCAGCGTGGAGCAGCAGAAGGCAGGTGTGAAAGGCCCTGGCTTCCCCGCTCTCTTCCTGCAGGAGTTTACTTAAGTGTGATGAGGTGCTGCCTGATAGTCTTATGCCAGTGGTGTTGTGTGCCTGAGCGTGTACTTCCGGTTTCTCAAACGTGCAACCCACATGCAGTTGTACATCCCTCTGCACTTTGCTGTTTGTGTCCCGAGGTCAGAATTCCTTCCATGTCATTATGTTCAAATCTAATCCAGTTATTTCTTTGCCCCATTTCACAGATAAAGAAAATGAAGCCCAGAGTCTCTGGCCTGAGAACTTAACTTTGGACTAGCCAGGAAGGTCAAACTGCCCTGAGCAGTGGGTTGTTGTTGTGGCGTGGAAAACTTGTTACTTTGCAATTCAGAATGAATTTCTTCTGTGAAGACAGAAGCCAAGAATGTATGGAACCCTTGCAATTTCACTGGTCCCTGAAGGAAGGTCCTTCCCCAGCTTGCCCTGTGCCCCCAAGAGTAGGCAGTTAAGCAAGTGAAGCAGAGAACAGAACTCAAATGCCACCTCAGCTAAGCAGGCCATTCTTATTCCCCGAAGTCTCCTTGCCTCTTAACCCCAAATCAATTGGAAACCTCTGGTTCTTAATTGTCCGGAGCACTGCAGGCAGTCTGGCCAGCCGCCGAGCGGCCCCTGGGGTGCAAGGGCACTTAATTAAATGAGGGAGTTACTGATTAAGCCCGTGTGGTCTCTGCCTCGGGCTTTGCATGCCCAAG